GTATGTGAATCTTTACCCCTCAGATAAAAAAGCCTTAAGCTCAACTTCACTTTGTTGTGGACTTCTTCCTTGAACACAGAAGGTGGCCGTGAAGAGCTGGACAGTCAGGCTACCGTTACATTTCTGTTCCTTTGTGTGTTGTCATGTGGCTGGTGACTTTAAAAAAAAACCTTTTATTAATGAGAATACTTTATTTAAAAATTGTATTCTTATTAGCAGTGAGGATGGACAGGATTTCATATATTTCTTCAACAATTAATTTTATTTTCTACTATCGTTTAAGCTCCATGCTACTTTTTCTTTCTTTTTTTATTAATTATTTTTTTTCATTTGTTTTACATATGAACCACAATTTCCCCTGGCACCAGGTTTCTCCCTAAGCCAAAATGACACCCCCTCAAGACATCTCTTTCAATACACTCCCCCTCCATCTTGTTCCCAACCTGCCCAACCCAACCCCTCATATTCTAATTTCCACCCCTGTTGGCTATTTCCTTTTATGTCTCCTCCAAATATCCTGTTTCCTTTGAGTTTAGTTAATGACTTCCCCTTTCTTCTTCCCAGAACTCCCTGTTTCCAGAACTCCTTCTTATATGTCCTGCCTGGCTATTGGTCATTTAGCTTTGTATTAAACATATTGACATATCTTTACACAGGGTAATCAAATATTTCACAAAACTAATGTGACTTTTAAAACAGGCATTCATAATTTTTCTCTGCCAGCTTATTCTGAATTCATATTATGTTCCTGTGTAAAGGTTTTCCTAAGCCAAGAAAACTGATCAGGGTATTGTACTTTTGCAGTGAGGGGAAATATCCAAGTCTATAAATTTGAATAGTCTATAAATTGGATATTCTTCAATAGTTACTAATCACAAAGGGAGATATAATTCAGTTATGAATATAGAACTCAAACAACTGTAGGATTTATAATTTGTCATAAACAGAAATAATCATATTATAAGTTGATGATTCCTTAAAATACTTTGATTATTAATTAACTTATTAAAATACTTATATTATTAATATATTAACTTATATTGATTACTTTGAAATTACGGTAGCTGAGACTAAAGATATGGCTCAGAAGTTAAGAGCATAAACTGTTCTTGCAGAAGACCCAAGTTTGGTTCCCTGCACCTACATCAGACATCATACAATTGCCTATAACTCCAGCTTCATGTGATCAACGTGAACATGTAAACATTGTTTGTCTGACCAGTTCATCTACCACCCAGGCCAAGAGATGGGCCTTGGGTTTACCTACCCTAACATTTACCCCATCTAGGACTTGCTGGAGCTTGTGAAGGGACTGGTCCTGTGGAACATTACTTGCAGGATCTCCATGGTTAGGAGGAGCAACTGGATATCCCAGAGGAGTTCGGTGAGGATCCAGTGATGGTGGTGTATCAGAAACTAGAGCCATAATCAGACCAGTGATTCATTGTAATGAATATTTCTAGTAAGTATGATTTGACAAAAGGGTATACTATGTGACACACAGCTCCCAAAGCCATCAGGATAAATGAAGAGGTGTTGGATATAAGCCTAAGATAAAAGCCAAGCTTTTATAATTCATAGAAAGTCTCCATGTCATTATTTGTGGGCTGGTGGTCCTGATGAGAAAGTATTACTACAGTTAACTTCCCTGTGAACATCACGATCTTGTCAAACATGGTGCAATAAATATCAATTACCATTCCCTGTGTGCCTGCTTCATTAATGCTTGTCCTTTTTTCTATCATTTTCTAGTACCTGATGTTCACAGGCTTCAGGTGGTGATAGCCAAGTGTTCCCAATGGTTTGTTAAAAGCCAGTCTATAAGACTGACTCCTTGCATACTGCCTCAGATTATATAGTATTATCATTTCAAAGAGGTTTATCATTCAGCTTCTTTCTTTGTAGCACAACCTCATGAGCCAGTTTGTGAGAAGCTCTTTTACTTCTCATTCAAAATCTTGCCTAATTAAAGCAATTTGGATGCTGAGTATCCTCAGTATGCTGTTTATCATAGACTTTCCTTAAAAAATCAGATATGCAGGGTGTCACTTCTAGCTCGCTCTCTCCTCCTTCACTAATTACTCATATGTAACCTACATTTTTGGGTCCCAGGAAGGGCTTATCATCATAGCATAGGTCTCTTTAGTATTCTTTATCTCTTACATTCCACCAGCTGTAGGAAATGGTGAGCTTCCAGGTTCCTACCAAATCAGAACCTAAGGCAGAGGGCAGCATCCACATGTATTTTTCCTGCTGTAATTATTTTCCTTACTTGTGTGAATATTTTTTAAGGATATAGCTGATTCTCAGTTGTATGACTTATTGCCCACAGCAAAGGCCATTAAACTATCTCTGTAGCCTGCTTGCAGTTCCATCCCATACGTTCTTCTTTCAGGTATTGCAATATATTTTCTAGTCTATCCGCCATATTTAGAGAATCCCTATAATCACGTGGCAGACCACATTTACAAAGTCCTATACCTCATATTATGCAGAAGACATTGGCTATTCTTTTATCTCAAGGATGCTCCACCTTCACATAGTTTGGCCTTGGTGACCTGTCTTATCACTCATAGCAGAAACCACAGAACTACACCAAGATGTGATAGCATCCCATACCACACAGAGAAAGAGAGTCATGATGGGGTTACCCCTATGGATGCTTCATCCTTATTTGGATCAGCAGGCCTCGGTTGCATGTCTTACCACCCATTACATAAGTCATATAGCTGCTCTTCTAATCCTGTTGGTCTTTGTTTGGGTTGCCTGACTTTTCCTTTTGAAAGGTGAAAAAAGTTCTATTTACCCTAG